TATATTAGGGTAGTAAAAAAAAATCCATTATTTTTGCATGAAATTGAATGGAAAAATAATGGATTTCTTTTTATTACACCTAATATATACGTATAAAATAGTTACGTATAATAATTATACATATTTTGTATACATATAAAATAATTCACTTTTTTTGCAGGTCCGTGGTACCTATAGTAGTCTATGAATCCGAGCTTTCGTCTATAATTGCGTATGCTTTGGACTCACATGACTACAAGCACACGTTGCAGGAGCTCTTACGTTCAACGAAGGGATCAGAATCGAATCCTAGTCCGTTGAGCAAACGCAAGTTTCCCGAAGGTAAGGACAGCTCCCTCGACTTGGCGCAATCAAACGAATTCAAGCGGCCGTCTGTGCTGTCCTTCTTTCGAGGCAACAGTCCCAATTCAGCCAATAGTCCCATTGAATCTGACAAGAATATGTCAAACGCAGAAACGAGTGGTGGTAGCGTAGTCGGTCCTGACGTTGACGACGACAAGAAAGCGACCAAGCAGCAGAATTACATCGAAGTACAATTTAACGATGCTACAACCAATTTCTTCTGCAGGATATACTTTGCCGCACAGTTTGCTGCGCTGAGAGAGAACGTTTTGCCCTGTGGCGAGGATGGCTTCACAAGGAGTCTAAGTCGAACTGTGCAGTGGGCAGCCAGAGGCGGAAAGAGCGGCAGTGCTTTCTGTAAGAGCAGAGGTATGTTGTACGCTTTGATTATTTAATATATAATTTATTAATCCTAAGATGAAAAAAGGGATAGTGTGATAAGTTTTATCCAATCATAATTTATCTTTAATGTCAAAATAATATTGAAGATAAACTAAACACGTTTAATTACGTATATTCACTATAATCTGCTATAAAATAAAAAAAAATAAACGAATCTTTGACAATTTTTAATTTTTAATCATTTTGATTATAGCATACTAGATATATTTTCTTTTACAGATGATAGATTCATCATAAAGGAAATGTCTAGACTCGATATGCAAATTTTCCTCGATTTCGCACCCAATTATTTCGCCTACATGGAAAGGTGTCAGCAAACCAAGCAACCGACGTTACTAGGCAAGATAGTTGGTGTATACAGAGTGTCATTTAAGAACAACACAACCAACGCGGCGCTTCGTACTAGTGTGTTAGTAATGGAGAATCTTTTTTATAATCGAATCATTACTGACAAATTCGATTTGAAAGGATCTGTGCGGAATCGGCTAGCGAATCCTGATGATACATGCCACGAGGGTGAACTGGTTTTGTTGGACGAGAATTTGTTGAACAGTATGTACTCTTTCCAACTTTTGCTTACAAATATATGAGAAAGAATCATTTTACTCAAGTAATTAAAAATTTAATTATATATAGATCTGAAAATTATTTTATTGGATATAAAAATAATTATATGGAACGCTTAATATTGATGATAATGCTGCAAAAATTATATATTCTAGTCATCAGTTTAATCAGATCTGAAAATAATTTTGTTTGGATGTCATAAAATTATCTGCAGATTTGTATCTAGCTAAATTTTTAGTAAATAAATATTTTAGTAAAACCGTTCTTTCCGTATAAGTTCGTAAAATTAATTAAGATTCGCATTTCAGTGAGCTGTGACTCTCCTCTGTATATTCGATCGCATTCCAAAGCAGTATTAAATCGAGCCATCGAGCAGGACACAAAATTCTTAGCTGATAATTCCGTAATGGATTATTCGTTATTAGTAGGCTTGGAACCGAGCTCCGATGAACTCGTGCTCGGTATAATAGGTGAGAATGACTGCGTATATTATCGCCTTTTTATCGACTGATAATTTTATACTTGTTATCTTTCGCAATTTATGCAGATTACATAAGAACATTCACGTGGGACAAAAAACTGGAGACGATGGTGAAAAAATCCGGTATATTAGGTGGACAAGGTAAATTGCCGACCATAATATCGCCGCAGGAATATCGTGACAGATTTATAGCTGCGATGCATCGCTACTTCCTGCCAGTACCAGATAGATGGTCAGGTCTAGGTAGAAGTGTTGAGATACCACCACAATAAATCATAATAATTTTCAGAAATTTTAAATACGAATGCAATTTTACACGCGATAATTATATAATCGATGTAAATTTTTTATGCGCATTGGCAAAAATATGAGCGTCGTATTTTAGTCGTGTATTTATATATTTTATACCGCGATAACGCGATCGAAAAATATCGATAGAAAGTGATATCGATAGTTACCAGTCATTTTAAGTAACTTATTAATTGCTATATTATATATAAATCAATACTTCTCGTATGGAAATTAATAGCTGCTCATAAGAGATTATGTGTACATGTATATATCCTACATTGTATACATTAAGCAAATGTATATAGTAGTCATTTTATAATTATAAAAGCGGCTGTTCGTTCTCAAACTTCTAAAGTACAAAGATACCATTGAAATTAGATCACAAGATTAATAATAAGATAGAAGAGAAGAAAAAGCATAATTATCAATATTTTATTTAATTTTTCAAAATTATGTACATGACCATTATCTGTCTCTTTGTAATAGTCAAATAAACAATAATCATAATTTCAACATAGTAAAACATTTTCATTCTTCGTCGATAGTTTTATACCATCATAATACAGCCTAGACAGTACACAAACTAAGGAAGATATTAAAGCGTGTACCTTATTGAGAAAAATATCTCGTACTTCACAAAGTACCTTTTTTTCTTACGACTAAATATCTGCTATTATTTACATAAATCCATTAACAAAGTTATACGCCTGGATACTATTGCATGAAAGTTAAATTATCAAATTAAGCTTGGACTATAAATTTGTATTATGATCGAGTACTACTATTATGACTACAAATAAAAAGATCGAATACACTGTATTGCATCCGTAAAGACATTTGTTGTCAGATATATCAAGAAACAAAGAATAAAGAATTCTCTGTTAGTTGAAGGTTAAAGATCCTATTTCCACACTACAGCCATATTACAACATCAGCAGCAAGAAATGAAATATTTTTTTCACATTATACATTGAAAGAGATTAGTTTTTTCTACTGTTTGATATTGATTGATAAAATATATTAAAGAATCTTTTCAGAGTTAATAAAAAAAATTAACATTCTCTCTCTCTCTCTCTCTCTCTCTCTCTCTCTCTCTCTCTCTGCACATTTCAAATAAAGTGTTATAATGTTCATTTTTGTTTGAAAAGACATTAATACTACATTTAAAAGACATTAATGCAAAATAATAAGAAATTTTCGATATATTTTATCAATTTACAATATCCGATAAACGAAACAATTAATTCATTTGAATGTATAGCATAAGAAAAAGATGTATATGATTTCTCACTTCGGATGTTCTAATTCAACAAGCAGCGAAGGAACGGGAACTTCAAACTAGAGCTAGAAACAAGCTTCTAAAAAGCTGTGAAGAACTAAATTTGTTGCTACATCGAATAAATAGAGTCTTAATGAAAACAAGTATGTATCTATAATACGAATAATCGTCCATGTATGTTACGAGAAATATAATGAAAGATACAGAGTTCCATATATTCGGATATTGATATACTATGATATCAGAATTGTATTGCCAGCTGCCATACAAGAGCATTCTTTTGTGAACATCGTGAAGTCTAGTGCTGCGTAAACCCAGGCAATAATCTCTAGTACATTTGCGAATAGCCGAAATAATCGAATCAAGAATTCTTCACTGCTCGTATTCACCGGGTTACATTAATTCCTGAATCAATCCTTCGAACTATTATATTTTTATCACTCGCGAAATCTCTTCCTTTTTTTTTATTTTACTTACTTTTTACATAGTTATTTATTATGTAAAACGAACGTTACATAACTCGAGATACTCTTTTTACAAATTTTTACACGTTAGAACTTTGTTTATTATACTTAGCCTCGTATATTTATACCATCGAAATATCGCTTATGTATATGGAAACGGGACGCGTCATCCAAATAACGCGTACCACAAGCATCACTATTTTAAGAGAACAGCGAAAGAATATCGTAATAAAACACGAGTTCCACGGTTAAATAAATGTCTACCGAATCATCATGCAGTAACGATGTCGGTCCATCTACATTAAAGATACGTACAATCTCCTGTCATATCTTCCGCGAAAATGTGCGATAAAGAGTAAATTTTCAAGTAACCGAGGAAACTGTATCTCGCAATTCTTTTGTACTGTGGTGTGGAAGTGATAGTAGAAATCCATCACCTAGTTTAACGGTGATGTACAGTGAATTTGAGAAATAGTCGCGTGTCTACAGCGTCTAAGGAGACAAGGAAGTCAGATTGGAGTGAAGGAGCCATTCTCATAGTGCATCTATTCCAAGTTGTCGATGTCCTCGACCATTTTGGATCTATGAGGTGGTCCCGACGTGTCAGAGAAAAAAAGAAGGCTCTTTGATATGATTTTCATCCCTTCTCCCTCTCTCGCGTTTTTTATGCCGCTATATATATAGATATAGAGGACTATACTCAACGTACCGTTCTACGCTAGATTTCTCGAGGAAGCCGAGAAGGAAATCTAGTCATCGAAATACGTGTCACATTCTCTCGGGCATCGTCGGGGAAATTAACACTCAGACTTATTCGCGCATTCGCACGTAACACAATGCACGCTTCGCTTATTGTGCGTGAATAACGTAACGATTTAATAATTCCAGTTCTGATCTGCAGAAGATATCTTCCGTACAGTCGCTGCGATGTTCGAGAATGTCCCTCATTCTCTTTCGGGAAGGATGCATTTTCTCAGAAAACATAGTTTCCTTTTTTCCGTATACATATTTTTCACTTCCCTCTCTTTCGTTTCATGCTTAGAGCGCAATATTTTGTTCTCCGGAAACGTTATCGCGCGTATCTACGTGACGTTTCGTGCTTGCGCATCGCCAATTAGCACAGTCATTTTTATCTTTGTGGCTCGCCCAGGCCGAATTGCGTTTGTTGAGGTTGCGTCTGTTGCTGTGTCGTGTTGCCGGATGCACTACACCGGCCACCGGCAGTATGATGCTGCACAATGCCCGCCATCGGTGTCGAATTTGCCTGAAATCCATTCTGGCTCGGAGACATACCTGCAGCACGTTTAATAAAACGACTTTTGACTATCGTAAAATACTTTATGATCGCATGAAGACTGATATAACGCTTTTTTAATTACATAAACATTAATATCATTCATATCGCTTATTTACGTAACGACACAATTAAAAAAAAAAAAAAAAAAAAAAACAAAGTTTTCCAGAAAGAGTTTCAATGTTTTGATTCATTAAAATTTCGTAATGTTATTTTTGAAATGTATTTATGTAATAATTGATTACAGAGGAATAAAAATATCTTAAAATGTTTTGTTTCTGTTTTTTTCTGGAAGCAACTAAAATAACAATTTTTTAATAATGTTGTTGTAGCAAACAAGCGATATATTTATCCTCGCAATTTACTGATGACATTTTCGGAAGAGGTATTATCAAAATAAACAAAAAATGTCACGTTACGTAATTGGTTTAACCGATAACAAGCCAAGCTGTAAAGCTTTGTTGAACTAATTATATCATAATATTTTTATCTATAATTTTATGCAGTATAGAATGAAAAACATTTGAAAAATTGGATTATACGCGGTAAATATACATATGTTGGAATATATATAACGCTCACTAAAGTAAACGGCATACACGTATAAATTATAAAACGAATTCTGTACTGAATTTTTCATGTTTAATAGGTTTACAAGACAGTTTATATGGCGTTTTTAATTATTAGCATAAGGTTACAATTGCCATAATTAATAACTTACCCGATGGAGTTTTTTCACCTGCAGACATTTTAGAAAATGCCAGCAACGCGTCTGGGAAATTCGGCGGAGTGGCTGGTGTGTTGCATGGTGTTATCTGAAAATTCAAAAATAGTTACCCATATAGCACAGATCATTTCAGCAACTTTGCAAAAACATTGAAACAATATAAATATTGCAGTAACAATGTAAAAGTTGTAATAATATAGTTGCAAGCTTCTGTGCTGTATAGGTTGTCTCTCTTTAGAAATGTTTAAAATCGTCAGTAATGAAAAAATCTTTAATCTTTTAAAAACACCGAATTTCTTCCTTTAATTTTTATTTTATGAAAATAAGAAAATAAAGAAAAACTAAATTTTTTGTTTACAAAACCAAATAAAAAACTTGCATAAAAATCTAAAATCTCAAACAAGATTTATGTGAAAAAATATGTCTTTAATTAGAATTTTTATATATTTAATATTCACAAAATAAAATCTTCGAAAAGATTATTTGTATAAAAAATTTCTTACGAATTTCCGAATAAATTTCTTTAAAAAATAGGAAGTTTTTAAACAGTTTTTTCTGTTAAATAAATAGTTTCTATAGAGTTTCGTTCTAGTTTTTATAATTAAAATAATATCTCAAAAGCGTAGAACGTTTACTTAAAACTGATAAAAAAATTGATGTCCAGCAGACGTATTTGTCTATTGCGTATTTCATTGAAAGGGCTAGCTTAAGAAATCAGACATGAAAGCTCATTAGCTAATAAGGTTGTTGAACCTTCGACTTCTGCATGTGACGATGGTCAGGTATGTACACAGATACGATGACCAAACAGTACAGGGACATGTGTATTAGCATAGCAACGACTAGCTGCGATAATTCGCCACCGATAAGCAACTATTAAATAACCGCCATTGACGATGTTCTCTCATAAAGTGAACCTTGTTGCTTTTGTTTTTCAACGGTGTTTCATGAATGAACTATATAATTGTTCTCGATAAGATTATCTCAGTTAAGTGATTGAGCATTTCATTGACCTCAATTAAATTTAAACAATAGAATACTACAAAGAATTATTTAGAAGTGAGCTGCTCTATTCATTTTGCTTATACTTTTTAATCTCTAAATAAATTTTAATTTTACTTTTCATTAAGAAAATACAACTTTTTTATACAATCTAATGATTATTTGACAAGAAGATAAAAAATTGTTTTTTAACAAATTTAATATTTTTTATCATA